CTCTCACCCAGCTTTGAACCGTGTAAGCTACCAAAATTACCTACCTCAAAGACATGCCCACGGGAGCACAGTGTTATGCCAGAGTGGCACAGATGTCATGGAAGTTTCCAATCACTTTTTAAGTTAGATTCCAGGCCTACTCCATAAGATGAAATCAGTAACAAATACCGAGTGAAGCCACAAAACTGAGACTAGATATGTCATGAGCTCTAGGAGAAAATCTACTGCTATTATGTTATTAAATAAATGTAGAAATAAGAAAGATTCCTAATAAAATACTGTGATAGCCATAGAATAGTGCATCTCTCAACCCTCATTAGAGAAATTTCTTTATACAATAGTCAATAGGTAACAAGAAAATCTAAAACTTGTGAAGATGAAGACACATTGAAATGCTCAATTCTAACTAGGCAGGCAGTCTATAGCATAAGGCTCCCCTCTAAGCTCAAAGATCTATGTAGAATGGAAAGAAAAGAGATTGTAAGAGCCAAAGGTAGTAAATGACTTTAAGGAAACCGCATTTCCAGGCACAACATGAACATATGAGCTCACAGAGACTGTAACAAAATTCACATGATCCTCACAAGCTCAAACAAGACAAAAATCCTGGTGAAGAAAAGTTCAAAGTCCTCCCTCAAGCCACTGAGCTATTGTCAGCCAAGAGCTCCTGGGAAAGGAAAGGCCAATTTTCCTCAGTGGGATGACACTAGGCATATGAACTACACTCCAGGGCAAGCCTCACACCCGTGAATAGCAGTCCAACACAAATTAGACACCATAGTCTTTGTTTTGTTATGAAGTACTGTGAGAGAATGTGAAGTGGGTGGGAAAGGAGATGGGACAGAATCTGGAAAGAGTTGGAGGAAAGAAATTAATGTGAACAAAATATATCCAATGCAGCTCTCAAAGAATATAGACTTTTAAAATAAAGGATTTTAATTTATTTATTTATTTATTTATTTATTTATTTATTTATACTTCAGATGTCATCCCCATCCCCATCCCCCAAAACAGCTATTCCATCCCTCTTCCTTCTTTTTGCTTTTTTTTTTTTTTAAAAAAAATCTTTTGTTTCTTTGTTTTTATTCCCTTAAGTTGAAGTAGAAGTTTCAATGTCCTGAAATCTGTATGCTGTACACACAGCCAAGGACCAGAAAACTCAGCACCCCCTTTTCCTCCTCGCCCAACCCAGAGGTGTGAGGCTCTGGTCTGCAGCTACCAGGATACTCCACTAGGGCCCAGGCTGGTTCCCATGGGCTGACACATCTGTCTTCAGCCCCTGTGGAGAGAAGTAACCTGCTGGTTAGTGTTCTAACAGCTTTTTGCACAGAACCCATTCCAGAGAAATACCTTTGAAAAGTTTCCTTCAAGTTACTAAGAGAGAGGCTGGGCCTGTGGAGGGATTGGCAGGTCCAGCCACGCCTCCATTCTGCCTTGTCTATTCCATCAGGTTAGCATCCCAGGCGCAGTCTCCAACAGCTAAACCCAGCTGCAGAGGCATTTCCCCGCAAAGCTCGAGCCTCTCGTTGGGTCTGGGGCACGTGTGAGGCTCTCCACCCTACCGGAGCATAGCTGGAAGAGATCATAACACTGAAGTAAAAGAAAACCTGCAGAACGAAAGTATATTAACCTTAGTAGGGTACACTGCAGTTGGCGTGTGCCACGTCCATTTGTCCAGCTCTGCTCCAGTCCGAGTTCACTCAGAACTCGATCCACTGGAGCTGCTGCTTGCAGACTCAGAGGAGCTGCTCCTGCTGAGCCTTGACGGGTCTCCTGAGGGAGTTGAGCCGGGGTTCTCTTTCTTAGTGGGTTTCTTTCTGTTCAGTTCTCCACTGACATCCTGTAGCCGCTTCTCCAGCTCCTTCTTCTCTCCTGAGCTAGCTCCTCTTTCGATTTGGCTGCCTGCTTCTTCCCGCTTGTTGACAATGGTTTCCTCTGCTTTTTCTGTACAAGAGACTTAATATGTTTCTCCAGTTCTCTCAGCGTGGTTGGCTTCAGAGTTTCGAAGCAAGTCTCAATGTTGTCTGGGTTTGAGTACTGAAGTGAGGGCTCCCGAGAATGAATGATGTGCACCACACATCCTAGCTTCTTGCTGGGCAGCCGGTTGATGTCCAGGCTGAGTTGCTGCTTTTCATCATAGCTCATGGACAGACCCTCCTCTTCTTCTGATTCATAGGATGCAGACGCCTGCTTGCTGCCCTTCTTGAGCTGTCTGCTGGCTGCAGTTGTGCTATTGGCCTTCTTGGTAGGAGCCTTCTTTTGCTGGGCCTGCTTGGCTGCTGGGGCCGCCTTGGACTTATCCTCCTCGGACTTGGCCTTGTGCTCTTCCTCTTTGTCTTGGTTTTTGTCTTTCTTTTTCCCTTTTCCTTCTTCTCCTTCTTCTTTGGTTTGTTCACTGGGGTCTGAAGCAAGGCCAACAGCTGTTTGTGCACAGCATTCAGCTGCTCCTGCAGCTATAGCAGCAGAGTGGCTTGCTCCTCTTCTTAGTCTGAGCTGCCTCAATCTGACGAGCTCTCCTCTCTACTGTGGCTGCTCTCAGCCCTTTTGCTCACAATGAGGGTTGTGGGAGCCAGCAGCGCAGGTGCCTCTGCAGGATCCTTTGGCATCTTGGCAAACCTCATATCAAACACATCCTGGAGCTTGCTGGCCATAGCCACCACTTCGTGGTCTGGAGGATTGTACACCGAGAACATTAACCGGATATCAGCATCGAAGCCCTGTGCATCTGGGTGCTTGCAGCTATCCATGGTCCTTTTGACTGTGCTGAGGTCCATGGGGTGCATGATGATGTTATGGAAGCCATGAAGCTCCAGTGCCTCAGCATCCACTGATTTGTAAAAGGGCCACGCATAGGCAGCATGCATCTTGGACAGCATCTCCCGGAGTATGTTGTCACACTGCTGCAGGTGCTCGGACAGCTTTCCCTTTTTACCTGCCTGCTGTGGGACCTCACCATCTTTCAGATCCCTCTTGGGAGGTTTGATGGGGCGGAGCCCACTCTCCTTTCAGGCCACTACCTTGGCTTGCTTGGGCTCTGAGAGCGGCAGGGAAGACTCACTCCGACTGGCAGTGATGGTGAACGCTGTGGGTGTGCGTGTGTCGGAATTTTGTTCAAGCCCTTTTTCTTGACAATAGGCAGTGTGGGAGGGACCGAAGGGATGATGGGTGTCGCAGGAGAAGGTGGTGCAGCTGATGGGGGGACTGGAACTGACATAATGTTTGCAGTGATTGTTGGTATAGGGGAGGAGGTAATGATATGTGTCTGGGATACAGTGGGGTTTATGTTCTAGAAGGGGGTTGCTGGGGAGTCCTAAGATACAGCTGCCAATTGTTGTGTACCTGCATTTCAGGCTCCTGCAGCTGGCTTACCGCCTTTGTCTTTTGGAGCAGGGGGCAGTAGTTCAATTTCCTCCTGAGGCATCTGGGCCACTTTCTGCAGAAAGATTTTCTCTAAGGCCATTAGCACTATGTCATCTGAGGGCTTATTATAAATATAATAGTTTGTATACATGGTGTGGAAGTCCTGCATACACTCACTGGCACGGCAATAATTATTTTCTAGTCTCTTCTTAATAGTCCCCATGACCATTGGAGGTTTTTTTATTATTATTATTTTATGATAGTCAAGCAGGTTCAGCTTAATTGTATCCACAGGCTGGTAGAAAGGCCAGGCTAACTGATGCTTCCAGAGTGTCTTCGCCACTACATTTTGCATGTACTGCAGTTGGTTAGTATTTCGGCCAGGCTTGCTGGGGTTGGAGACCTCAGGTGGGGAAGGGTTCACAGACAGGACTTCCAGGATCCCCATGGGGGCAGCTGATGCAGTAATGGACCTCCTCTGCCAGCTTAGTCACTTGCTGTCACAGCAGCAGCTCAAACAGGTGCTCCTGATGGAGGTCTGGAATCCCATTTCTGTGCCTATCAGGCACTTGGCCTAGGTAGTTCCAGTGCCTTCTCCTCGTGGCCTGTGCAGCCAGCTCCTCTCTCCTTTTTTGCCTTTATACCATTTAATTACATGCAACTATTAAGGCCAGCTCTAGGTTGAGGAACTAGCAATACAATAGATACAAATAGTCAAGGAACAAGTAAGACAATAAACACAAATAGTCAAAGAACAAGCAAGGCAATAAACAAAGTTCTGTCAACACTCCCATGATCAGTTTCTAAGGGATTATCAGGATGACCAAAATATCTGAGCCTACTTCCCTGTCCTAGCTCAAAGACATCTTCATGCCTAAAGCCTACTTCTTTGTTCTAGCCTAAGATTGGTTTCCTGCCTGAAAGTACTTCTTTGTTCTGGACTAAGATTTAGATTCCTGCTGGAAATTACTTCTTTGTTCTAGCCTAATGTCAGATTCCTGTCAGATGCCCACTTTCTTTTCCTTAGTCAACGTCGTATTCCTGCCAAGCAGCCCATTTCCTTGTCCTTAGCCAATGTCAGATTCTTTCCAACCAGCTGCAAAAGTTCTCTGCCTCTCCATCTTTTTTATTTCATGAACAAGACTGAGCCTGTCTTAGGTCATTCTGACAAAACTGCCTTCCTTACTTGTCATGGAATATGCATTATCAAAAGCAATGCAATTCTGTCTTAGATTTAAAGAAATATTTATTTATATTTTCCATGTAGCATTCATTGTAGAATATTGCAACTAAAACATCTGATACCAATTCTAAAATTAGAGTTATCAAAATAGTTCGCCTTTTCCTCAAAAAACTATTGATCATATTACAGAGACATGGTTAATATATAAAGAGCTCAAAACAATTAACAGAGACAACCAGATGTGAATGGAGATGGTCCCACAAGAACCAGTAAAGGTGAATTTCCTGTTCTGTCACTGACTTGTCATCTTATTTATATTAGATGGCAATTTGTATAGACACTGAGAAAGATCAATGGATGTACTGAATCTATAACCATGAGTCAAGACCAGTCGATTAATCCCCATTATTATCTGGAATTCATTCATGAGATAAATTAAAGGGTTCAATGTTCTTACACACTGCCTTTCTGAAGAATCCAATAGAAATCCTTGAGGGAAAATCACACTCCAGTTATGACTGCATCTCTTGGTACAACATTTAGAACAATGGGTTTTGCTGGTTGAAGACGTCCTTGTCTGCTTAATTTCAGAGGTATCTGCAACAGAAGAAAAATGTTGAAAAGCAATGAGTAAACCAACAAGATCCCCATCAGAAAAGTTTTTTTTTAAGTATTTGGAATAATAATGCTTTGCAGAACCAAAAAGCTGCAATATCATGTAATGTGACATTTATTCTCCATATTCTAAAAGCTATGTCAATTTGATGTTGAGAGCTTGCATCTAAATGTACATTATGTAAAATGATGATTGAGAATCCATTGTATTCCAGGACTGAGATGAATTCATGCTGGTTTATATTACTTATGTTCTGCACTAATTTGGAGTAAAACAGAAAGTTTAACATTCTTAACCATATTCTTAGTTTTTATGTCATATTATTTTTTTAAGTCATGAAGAGTTACATTTCATTTTGTAAGATAATCATGAGAGGATACATTTCAACTCTATTATCATTCCCTAACTCCCAGATCATATCTTACTACTACACCTCAGCATATTCAAGGCAAGTCTTCTGGGGGACAGATACTTTGCTTGATATTCTAGCATTTCTTCTTGGCATCCAAGGATGGGATGAATAGAAAACTCTAATTCTAAAAGATTTTTAAATAATTATTTAGCCTCATACTTTTCAGTGATGAATGGGAAAAGACTACAATAGAAAAATCATGCCTCACTGGACAACGACAGGGGGACTGGAGCCATTACAAGGTCCCCTTCAAATACTGGAGGTCAGGCCTCTATCCCAGCCTTCGCAAGTTTAGAATTGCCACAGCCCTTCTATACTTAGAGAAGGGAGGAGATGTCAGGGGCAGCCCTGCTTATACACTGAAGGCCTAAAATCAGCCATAGGCCTAAAATCAGAAATAGGCCTGTCATGGAAAAACACTGAAACAGATGGCTATAAGCTAATGTAAACAGGCAGCTTTTGTGGAAATTTACAAGTCTGAGTAGTCATAGACCTTGTAAATAGGTAGCCTTGGCAGATAATACCAACTTAGATAAGGACAAGTGAATCACAGGCAGAGTCATAGCGACCTGTACCCTGAACCTTCACCCAGCCAATTCCCTGTTCTGAAAGATATTTGTATTCCTCCTGAACACCCACACTCTAGTGTCATTCCCTTCCTCACATCCTGCCTTCCTGTGTTTATAACCCCTGTGTGAATGAATTACGATTTGAGAAAAAATAAATTATAAAAGAAAAGAAAAGAAAAGAAAAGAAAAGAAAAGAAAAGAAAAGAAAAGAAAAGAAAAGAAAGAAAAATCCAGGCAGAGACAATGGAAATAGTACAATGAGTGCTGAGTTTGGCATATTGGTAAGAATTGAACTAAGAGAAGGCACACTTGACCAGCTGCTTCCTCCACCTCTGGTATACAGTGAACACTCAAGAATCATTAAAGAAGCTGAGCAATCAAGATAGACTATTCGAAAAAGATGCTGAAAACCATGATAGAGAAGAGCGAGTCCACCTGGAAACTGGAGGGTCACATTGGATGTCAGGGTAACAAGATCAAGAAGGCCGGGAAGGGAAGTAATGCATTCATCTTCTGTGGTAGAAAACAAAATGTAAATCAACAAAGCTGGCTGGTGCTCAAGAGAGATTGCCCTGACCAAACAATATGAGGTGGAACAGACAGGAAGTCAACGAATGTAGCATCAGTCTCAATTCCTCTCACTTTGAGCAGGATTTTGTTTGGACATTTGTGCTTTGCATGAAGCTGAGCAAAATGACCTTAAGAAAGAAGTGTACTGTGAGAGAGGGGAATTACTAAGAACATCAGGAGCCGCAGCTGGAATTAGCATGGTAGAGAGTCTATGCAGGCAAAAAATGCTAAGATATGGGCCATTCTCCTTGAATGAAGATTTTGCGGGATGAAAGTTCACAGGAAAGAATAGAAAATACAGCCTTACACTCAAAGGACAGACCACACTGAAAATGTCTCTTAGGTCATGATGACACTAAAGAAGTTTGTTTTCTTGTCAAGAGATAATGACAGTTTTGTCTAACAAATTTAGACATGGGACCCCTTGTTAATTTCTCAAATTAACAAAATTCACAAGGCCCCTCCCCAAGGTTGTAAAAACTGTAAACTGCTGGCTGGGGAAGGAGCTTCTCCTGTCCCACAAGCTACCTGCAGCTGCCTTGCAGAGCTCTGCTGGGGTGGAATTCTCAGGTCATCATCCCTGTGGGTAGTGATCCTCTGCATGGCAACAACTGCCTCTGAGCCATCCCTGATCCTCTATAGTAGATTAAGTATCAAGTATTCATAACTCTGAAGTAAGCTAGTAAACTCTGTTTCATCAATCTGGAATGAGGTTGAGTTTGTCACTTTGGTCTGTAAAAAGTTTTCTGTGTGGGGTGAATAGATGTTCATGTCACAACCCCAGAAAGAGTGTCCTATCAGTTAGCCTAACATTCATCTTTGCCAAAGACAAGGATAGAAGCAGCGAAATTTCTAGTAGAGTCAGGCACTGAAAAATATCCAACTCTGCTGACCCACTAAAATGTGCGGTGAATGAAAACTTTCACCTGCCAAGCTACTAGAAGAGATCAAGGTTGAGTTTTGGTTGTGAGTATAGACTATTTGAATTTGAATAGAACTCTCTCCTAGGTGACTTTAGATTACTATTTAAAGGTTCTATGCCTCCATTTCCTTTCAGAAAAATGGTAATTCTAAAAGATTTCATATAGGATTGTTAGAGGACTGAACATTCTTAACTACATGTGAAGTGACAGAGTGATTCTTCCTTAATAAATATCAGCCACCGTTATCATTTTTAAAAAAGAAAGAAAGAAAAATCTTCTGGTCACAGGGAAAGTAAGGGGGGGAAAGTTGACATGGAGACAGAGAAGTGTCCATTTTAAAATGACTGGAGCTTAAAAGAGCATCTGCCTCATGCCAGGTAGACCATTAGGTCTCAAAACTATAACTTTGTTTTATCTGTTTAAATCCTTGTACATAATTTAAATGCTTTAGTGATAAAGTACTAACTTAAGTACAGATGTCTGTAGATAAAGTTGTACAACTGCCTTAAAACACAGATCAAAAAATAAACACATCTGTCTCTGTCCAGAAAAAAAAACATTAATATAAAGAAGCCACACTCTAAATACACAAGTCCTGTACATTTCACCCATCCCTTTACATTAAACAATATCAAGTTAGTCAGGAAAATGCAATGCAAATGTTTTTTCTAAATGTCTTATTTTACTCTTTTATAGCTTAAGTAATGCACACAAGTTTTTGATTGAGGCATACAAAAAAAGATGTTCATATAAATATTTATATAAAAGATACAGTTAATTTTTAATTAATGTTTTTATGAGAGAAAATTTTAACTGTAAGCCATGCTTTCAAATATTTATGAAAGGTTTTCAATGTGAAAACTCTCCTCAAAGGACCATTTGGAGTTAGTGAAAGGAATAATACGAGGTGACATACAGAAGAGAGCGAATATCCTTCAATAGAAAGAGAACAGACATAAAAATACTGGAGGTTTTAATGACACTTAGATGGTGAAAATAACCTGCAGGAGCCAAAATTAGAACATGGAGTAAATAGGACATAAGCCAACAGAAGATTCACTTAGAGCACAAACAGGAACTGGAAGTATGAGGGCAGAATAAGAAGAGAAATAAAGAAACAGTTTATGAAAATATGAAAACTATCCATTTCCTGTAGCAGAGCTCATGAGAAATAACTCAGAATAATCAAGATGTTCCATAAGGTTAAAGTTAATCATACCATGCAACTTTTTAAAGACTTATACTTTATGTATAAGAGTGTCTTGCCTGAACATTGCATATATACCACAAGTGGGAAGTCTCAGAAGAAGCCAGAATGGGCCAACAGAGACCCTGGAATTATACTTACAAATCATTGTGAGCCACTACATGGGTACAGGAAGCTAAACTCAAGTCCTTTCAAGAGCAGCAAATGTCCTTAATGACTAAGTCATTACATGACACCAAGCAACTGTCTTTTAAAATAATGATTTTTAACTTGGCATGACAAGGGAAATTAGAGACAAGCTTCTAAAGAAACTCTGGGTGAGTTGTATTAGGATTTCAAAAAAGACCAGACATCTCGAGTTTCTGGTTTCTTTTTGAGACACATAGCCCATGTTCACATCAAATTCACTAAGTAGTCAAGGATTACTTGAAATTATAATCTTCTATCCTCTAACTACTGAGTATATAGATTACAGATATGTACCATCATGGCTTATTGATGTAGTTCTGGGGATCAGAGATTTGTGCACAATGGGTAAACATTTTACCATCTGAGAAACATCTCAGACCCCATGTATGAGTTTTAAAGTTACTCTGTAATTCTAATATACATCGACTGGTTGAAAAGACTGTGAGAAGAGGGCTTCTGTGATCTCTGGAAGAAGTGGGCAACACACAACAAACATTGAAGACAATGAAAACATGACCACCTCTGGATGGCATATGACATACCCAATCTCCAAAGGACATGAATAGAATTTCAAACAGAATGCATGGAATCCTGTCACATTCGCCTACACTGACTTCTCATAATATTAAGTTCTGTTTTATACAGATACAGAACAAAAGGCCCATTACTTAATACCTAGATACACATAGCTCATTTTCTCAGAGAACAAATTATTAAAACTCAAATATACATAATGATTTTTATACTCAGAACCTTCACTTGGAAAAGGGTCTCCCATAAAACACTATTTATAGAGATAGTTTTCTCCATCAACTGTGTTTCTTTACACGGCTGGAAGGAGAACTTCTGCAGGACTTTAGTGAGAGCGAGTTTCATATTCATGAGAGCAAACCTCATGCCAATGGAGTTTCTGGGTCTATTTCCAAAGGGCAGGTATATATAAGGATCAATGCTGCCCTTGTTTTCCTTGCTGAACCTGGAGACAC